TGGACAAATCTTTATTTTATTTTATTAAAAATACTTCACTAAGAAATATGAGTTTTTGTATGTGAAAGACTTGTAATATTAACTGAAAAACTGCCAAATTTCGTGAAAAGTTAGAAGTATTAAACCTATAAAGACTAAACGAGTACAAAAAGATCAGGTGGTCGGCCAAATTCACTAATCCCGTATTGAAAATGTTAATGGATGGTTGTCACATTCTTATTTGCATGCTACAGTACAGCTGTACTATATTAAATATGTGGGGTAGGTGAGAGTATCAGGGCTAGTGGCAAGCAAATATTGTGTCTACAGAGGGCAGCACTGAATGAGAAAAGTTATTATACAAGTGGAGGTAAGGTATCTTATTGGAATTTTGATTATGGCTATTATTTTTAGGACTGATCATTATAAACAATCACTGTTGTGACAGGTGGGTTGGGGATTTTTTATGATCTACATTATTCACAATACTAAGAAGATTCTGGAAGGTTTTATTTTAAATATCTTTAATAATTAAACTTTCCAATTAATGTTACAATACACACACACACACACATTCACGTGCAAAATAAAGAAAAAAGATTTTGACTAAATAATTAGTCACATACTTTATTCAAATTTAAGAAAACAGTTTCAGTTTGTTGGTTTCCTACACTCTGCTGACTACTGATAGAGACTAGTTCTGTAGGCATGGTTCCTTGAACAGGTTGAATTTCCACTTTCTCAACACTTACATGTCCATGACTATCCTATGGGGATGGAAAAAAAATGTATCACAACTAATAAATTCTGAAAGCCAACTCACTATTTATGAATAAGCATAAAGGTTACAGCTCACAATTATGTTAACATAAGTTTCCTCATTTATATCCTATGGAATGTTTAAAGGATGAAATCTAACTTGAAATGGAAGATCCAAAAACCTTTGGTTCACTGTGATTTAATGAGGTCAACTCAGTTGTGAAAATGCAATAGAAAGCTCTTTCCTCTTGAGTGTAAATGTATACCATAACTTATCACACAGAGAAAAGCAAGAGCACAAACCATTCCATCTGACAACTGTAGACTTATGATAAGCAGACATGCATAACACAACACACGCTGCTGAGCCAAGAATTTAGGTGCATTCATTCACTTATCTGGTTATTAAGAGTTACAAAAATGCAGCATGGGCATCAGTTGTAATGGCTCAGAATGTTGAAAAATATTCCTTAACTATGGTTAAAGTCCAGTAATAATCTTATCCTAATATTCTTTTCAATGAATTACTAGGACTCCAACCCCAAGACAGAAGGACCTTCTCATCTGGAATGGAATACTCAAAATGTTACAATTTACAAGTTATAAAGAAATCTCACATTCAGTTGATTAAGGATGTTATAGGTGTTACAAATCATAAAGAATGTGCTGAAAATTTAACAATACATAACAAACAGGTTACAAGAGTAATAAGACACAAAGAATGAGTTTACAGCATACTTACAACCATTTTAGTAAACTGGTTCAGATATTATATTACATTTATTAACTTTCTCTCTCTCTCTCAATGGGTTCAGTCAATTTGATCTAAAAATTGACCTTTAGTTTCCCTACTATAACTTTTAATATGTTTTTGTATCTTCATGACATTTTGCAAGCTTTCAGTAAGCATTAAGAGTCATTTGTAGACAAAAAATCAGAATTTTCACAAAAATTTATCCGTGAATATGTGCAGTCAAAGTGTTGACTACTCTAAATGCAAAGTGATTCTCATGTTATGATTAAAACTACTGTTCTTCATCTGAAAATTCTCAAATTTCCTTTGCATATTCTATGAAACCTACTAAGTAAATTTCAAAGAGTTTTTTTACAAGAAAACTATATTTTATCTGTTATTTTCTCTACCCTAACTCTATACAAGGTTGATCAATTTGACTAACCTCATAATCTCCATAATAAATTTGAAATAAATCTAAATTACCATTTTTTCTTTCTAGAATAACTTCAAATTGTAACATGAAACTACATCTGATTATCTTAAATAGCTTTAAACTCGTAAGAGTATACATCGACAGTTGACAACAAGAAAAAAGAAGATTGGGTAAGAAATTTATTTCTTGTTTTTCATATTTGTTCTTTATATATTATTATAAAAGTAACTAAAATGTAAAATTACAGGTCTTTTTAGGTTAGGTTAGATTAGGTAAAAATGTTTAATGAGGCACAGATGTGAGCAGCACATAGATAACGTAATTCAATAGCATGACGTGAGCAGCACATGCCCCAAGTGATTTACAACTTATTATGGTGTGGATAATAGTTAGACAAGGTTCAAAGGGTTATCAAAAGGACAATAAAACAAAATTTAATTATAAATAGATGGATACTGTTATGAGCTTAAAGCTACTTAGGATAAACTAATGTAGTTTCATGTTACAATTTGAAGTCATTCTAGAAGAAAAAAAAAGATAATTTAGATTTATTTAGATTTTTTTTTTGGTGGTTACGAGGTTGGTCAAATTGACTGATCCTGTTTTGACTTAGGGTGGAGATATTAACAGAAGAAATATAAAGTTTTAATGGAAAAAACGTTTGAAATGTATTTAGGAGGTTTTAGGGATTACAGAAAGGAAATTTGAGATTTTTGAGATGAAGAAAAGTATTTTTAATCTTAACATTAAAATCACTTTGCACACAGACTATTCAAAACAAATAGTGTTGAAACACTCGATATATTCATGAACAAATCTTTTTCTAGTTTATTAAAAATACTTCCATAAAAAAATATGATTTTTTGTATGTGAAAGACTTGTACTGTTAACTGAAAGACTACCAAGATATACACACTATATTGAAAGTTAGAAGTAATAAATCTATAAAGGTCATGTGGTTGCTCAAATCAACTGATTCCATGTTGAGAGAGTTAACAAAGCTTGAATGAGAGGATGTGACAAGTAGGTGTGTCAGGAGAGGTGTGATTTTCTATTTATAGCTCTATAACCAAACAAAATTGAAGGCTGTAAAAATTATGGTTTATCTGATGAATAACGATATTATAAGGAGCAATTTACATTTAATTTCATACATATGGAATGGGTGGTGAATAAAATAGAGAAGAGAAGATGCCTAGAGAAAATGTGCTACTTTGTAACTCTAGGGGAAGTTCAGGATTTTTAAAAATATTTCCTTAAAGAATTAAGAACTTAAAGCTTATATACTGTTAAAATATGGATTATTAGCTAAGTGTTTTGCTCTTCTAATTGGTCTAACATAAACAAAAAGAATGTAAGACACTAAAACTTTCATGTGTAATAAAGGATACCCAGGGTGAAAGGGTTAAACATCAGATAGAGCTATTGGCAAGTTGTGAAAGAGTTGATGTGACAGGTGGGCATGACAAGTGGGTCTGATTTTCTAGCTTATGGCTCTGTAACCAAATGAGATTGAAGGATATAAAAATTATGCTTTTCCTGATTGATGACAACATTATAATGAGTAATTTACATTAGATTTCATATTTCTTGAAGGGGTGGTATATGTCATAGTTCTCAAAGTAGGGGAAATTGGAGATTTTTGTAGTATTGCTTTATAAAAGTAAAAACTTAAAACGTATATAATATTAAAATTTGGATTATTAGTTATGTTTTTATACCAAGTTTATTCTTATATCACGATAAGCATGTAGTTTAATTAAATTTTGAATGTAACTCATTAAAAGCTTGTGACATGTGTAGAAAAGGATGCCCAAAGTAAGAGGGTTAAACACTTCCAAAATTGTTTCCTACCTTCAGTATCACTGTATCAGCAACATCCAATCCACAAGCTACACAAGTCCACCAGATTCTCCACTCTGGCCGCCATTTCACTACTAGGCAAGTTAACCCCACGGTTAAAATAGTAATAAGCCAGAAAAATAATTTCTTCTGTATACTTTGTTGGTATCCAAATATATCCTGTAAATAAAATTGGAGCAAAAATGAAATTATACAATCTTTAACAACAATCTCTGTATCATTCAAAAAAATGTTGAATAAGTAAACCAATATGTTATTGAAATTCATGTTTCTCTATGTTGCAGTAAAATATTTGGAGAAAAAGTTCCATACAGGGAGAATGTTTTCATTACAGCAAATATTTCATAAGGACTCTGATGTTCTCTTGCTATTTGGAGTACAGTTCTAAACTAACTGAGATGTGTTCTTGTTCATAAGCCTATTAGAGATTCTACATTTTTTGCATTTTGAGGATTGAAAACTTAGTTTACAATTTTAATAATCCTTAGATTTTTCTAAAACACTAAGATCAATTACTTTAGGGTTATTCAATTTTTGTTATAATAAAATATTGCTATATGACTACTTTGGCCTCTTTTTCCAATAATTTGAACTAATGCCTTCAGAACACTTTTTCCTTCCATTTTAATGGTTGTTGAATTTTCTATTTTTTTATAATTTTTTATTTTATTTTACATTCATCAATCAGCTGTCATACTTCCTTAGCTCTAGTTATACATCTCTTGTAAGTGAGATGGTAAGCTGTCTTTATGCGAGGGTTTGACATCAGACTTCCTACATCTTGCCTCAAAGGTGGTTACATCTGATTTTCTTTGATGTTGAAGTACTACCTGCACAGCTTCACATTTTGCAATGTCACATCCAGACTTGATCAGAATTTTATGGTCCCCTGTATTCATGGCCCTAATGATGACATCTTTATTCTTCAGGTCCATGAGAGCTCTTCCTATCATTAATCCTTCATGATACACTGGAGTATTAGGTTCCACTATGGCCCAGTTACTAGATAAAAATTTATTCACAATAAGTCATAGTATGAGTATTTCACTTCTTTGTAATACAATGTCTCCCTTCCTTGTTGTCACCGGAAGTTTAACCTCTGGTGTAGTAACTGTCATGTAGTGCACAGGGATTTCCTGGTCAGACTGTGAAGGTAGCCTAACCTCACATTCATGTCTTTCTATGAAATCCTTTCCCAATATGCACACTTTCTCAATGTCAAAAGCTTCCTACAGTAAGGATAGCTTCCAACTTTCCTCTTACTGGAATTTTATGTCCATTTGCTGTTCGCACCAATCCTTTTTCGTAAATCATCGATGGAGACAATTTTCCACCTTTCATTATCAAATTTGATAGCTGTAGAACCAGTATCAATCAAAATACTGCAATATATCCCATCAATAAACCTGGGGACTCATGGACTGGTTCTTTAAATAATAAACATATTATCTCATCTGGGACAGATGGAGTATTCTAAGCTGCATAATATCAGCTAATTCCTTGTTTCTAATATCTGGTTAGTTCTTTATTGTGGTTGGGCTCAGAGACATTCTCAGAGTATTGTCTACTTGGTATATTAACAGCTGTTTATTCCTCACAGTCTTGGCTGTAATGGCTAGATTTCCCACATTTATGATAGTTTCCTTTTTCTACAGGATTCCTCAGCAGAGGCCTGGAAAGACAAGCAATAATCAGGTGGAGGAAAACTGACAAAATCTAGGTCATCCTAAATGGGTTCAGCAGTTGTTGGAGGAAGGCAAGCAATATCAGAAGAAGGTAGGGTATAAATTATAAAGAATTATGAAAATTAAACAGTCAATATAATGTAAATTTAAGTATGTGTTTAATGAAATAAACATATGTATAAGATGTTATGTGTTGAAGGAAACAAGATATTTAACCTAATTATTGATTTACCCCCTAAGAAGAACTACAGGCAAACCAAAATTAACAGGCACTTTTTAAGCCTAACTGAACTGTGCAGGACGTAGTATATTACTAAGCTCTAATTTGAACACCTTAACCTAACAATAATACATACAATATCAGAAGAAAAAGTTTCTATGGACCCTGGCTCCACACAAACAAAGTTAATCTGAAGACTTATGAAAGTTAAATGGAAATGAAATAGATGTTATATTGTAAAATTAAGTAAATGTGTATTGACAATAGCATATGTATGAGATGATATTTTCAAGAAAAAAAAATATAGTTAACCTAATTTAATATATACAAGAAATATGATTTACAGGTAATCCTAAAATAACAAAGACCCATGTTAAGCCTAATCTAACATTATAGGACAAAGGATACAATCCAAGATCTAATATCAAACCTGAACTTGACTACGAGTATTGACTAATCTAACTAAACTTGTTATTCAACCCAAGCAACAACAGATAATAATATTAACAGTAAAAATATTCAAATATCATAACATATAATGTCTTATCATTTAAAAGTCGGCAGACCACATTTCCAAATGTGTGGGCCCCCAAATTTAAGCTGAGGCCCGATGAAGGTCAGCTCATTGGACAATCAATATCCAATAAAGTAAAACCGATAATTCTCCATTCAATGAACACCATCTGAAACCTGTGTGCTGATAGAAGATATAACCTCTGAAGTGGTAACTTAGAATTTGGAATTCATAATCGAAAATGAATAACCAAACAGAACCATGTTGGTAGAAACAAATAAAAAAGTAGAAAAACAATTTGTAAATAAGTTGCTGGAGTTTTAACTACAATTGTTCTGAAGTATTTTGAAAGCAGAAAAGTTACTTGAAGTTTACTACTTTGATTCCTATTTTAAAAGAAAATAAAGAGAATCTGGATATCTAAAGCTTTATTAAATTAACTTTTGTTATTTGCAGGGTGTTGTCCAAGGTCCCTTAGAAAAAAGGATTTGAATATTTAGCAGCGGTCAAAAGAGTAAACAGAGTTCGTGGATTTGTCAATAGGAATTCTTAATTTAAAACACTTATTTTAGTCATTAAAATCTTGTGAAGGCTTCATTCGGAATACAGAAAGAATGTCAGCAAGTTAAAAAGAGTATTGAAATATGGTACTGAATAATACATGGTTTAAATGATTTAAGTTATAAAGAGAGGTTATTCTTAGACTTGTTCTCTTTGAAGCAAAGACGAATTACGTGGGACTTAATTCAGGTGTTACAAATTGTTTGGGGTTTTTATAGTCTTTCTGTGGGTTATCTAAGTGGAGAAATGTTAAGGTTAAAAATACAAACATGAATATTAGGGGTAAGAAATTTGAGCTCTTAAAGCCCAGAATGCCTTGTTTTATTTAAAGTTACATCTATAATTGTGTGGAAATAGTATTTACCTTGTCTTGTTCTTATGTTCATTAGTCTTTTCACTAATTCTTGTAACTCGATAAGACATCAACTAAGATTAATATATTCAGATTTTAACTCACTCTTTGTTCATCAGTCCCATCATCAATCGTACTAACAGAACTTCCATCAACTGTGTTTAGTTTTCTGTATGGTACATGTCGAGGTCCTTATATAAAAAAATATGTATATCATTAATACAAAAAACCTTTGTATATATTCTGCTGTGGATGCAAACTTTTGAAACACTTCATTGTTAAGGATTAGTTTAGAAAGTTACATTTTGGCTTTTAGATATTTACATACAAATGTCACTGCTAATGAACAGCTGTATGAGAATGACAATGCCATTAACATTTCAATCACTAATTTTAAAAGTAATAAAACCAACTTACATGAAGTATTACAAGGCAGGCCATTAACATTTCAATCATTATTTTAAAAGTAATAAAACCAACCTACATGAAGTATTACAAGGCAGGGGATTAGTGAAGAATTCTGTTTACTTGAGTGAACAGATCATCTGCTATTATGTCACAATCCTTAGTAAAATAAGCCTATTTAAACATGTACTGTATTAATAAAAGTGAACAATTCTAATAAACACAAATTAGCAAAAATGTAACAGTTTACATGTATATCCTTCATCTTT